GACAGAGTCCAGGGGAGGTGTGAAGAACCTTTTAGTTACATTGTTACAATAAATCCACCTTACCCAAAGTTTCACTGTATTGTTTTCACTGTTCATTTGTGTTCATTTTGATGTTTGGATTTTTAGGGGAGGTGTGTACATTAAGATTACACTAAAGGGAGGTGTGTTACCAAAAAGTTTAGGAACCCCTGTTCTAGAGTACAAACTACCACGCCCAAATTTATATCATCTGCAGATTTGATAAGCTCTTCAGCCAAAGCATTAATGAAATAAATACATAATTTATCATTTAGAAAGTATTCTAATGTACACGTTCACCTCTTCCTTTCAAACACAGGTTTACAACGCAGGCCTCATTAATAACTATACTGTGTATTATATAGCACTCACAAACTCTTTAATGGCATCTAATACATCTAACCATTACAATTAGAATATAACCAAGTTCCTGTGTCACAGCAAATCATGAATTCTGGCTTATTCATGAACACCAGCATGATGGCTCCTTCTTGGCCTTTCCTTTAATACAAACCTGGAAGCCACAAATAAGAATAGCTATGGATTATAATTAATTGCTTTCAAGCAAGCCGCAAGCAAGAATCTAATTGTATTTGAAGTTGGCTTATGTATTTTGGCATGTCTGAGAGCAGGTAACTATAGTCCCACATTTGAATGCATCAGAAAGCTATGGTGTGTTGCATCTTCCTGGTTTACCTGTTAGCACTGAGGGGAAAGCAAACGGTGGCATGCAACAAGGCAATATTTATACACGTTATGATTTAATGAGCGCAGGATTCATGGATTGCCATAACTTATGAACACAGCTATGAGCCTCCATGCAATCTAGATTGGTTATTTATTTAATTAATTAGATTTATATCCCACCTTTATTTTATAGAACTCCAGGCGGCTAGCTTTCATGCCTAAGGGAGGCCTGGAACTCACAGTCTTCCAGTTTCTAGACCAGCACCTTAACCACTACACCGAAGTGGCTCTCAATTTAGCTGACAGTCATTTGTACATTTATGCCTCTACCCTATTTGAGGCAACTCTCAAGCGGTCTCTCTTTTGGAAGCTATAATGCCTTAAACAGTAGTGCCGTTACTGACTGATAGATGCTTCAGCAGCAGGGAGAATGTTCAAACCTAGCAAAAGTTCATTCCTTTCTCTGTGCTCAGTGTGCCTGCATTATAAACCTGTGTTTGAAAGGAAGAGCAAGATGGATAGACTTGTAGAAATCATCTAGGGCCTCACAGAACACATATAAAACAACTGCAGATTATCTGACTACAATTTAAGAATCACTACAACATAGGAATACTTATTTCACTACTATTGCAAAACTGACAATTTCAATTATAGGAACCCTTTTTTACTTGACACATTACTGTGGTTATAATCTAAATGTCTCTGATTAAATGTAAAGAGATTGCAAGAGAGTCTTATTTGTAAAAGACTGATGTGCCAGATTCAATGAGATTCAAATGTCTATTTGAAAAGGGAGAAATAAGTTTAGTTGGAAAGAAAAACACATGTTTTTATTATTATGCAAACTGATTGTTCCATTTCATGGAAAATGAATATATACAATATAATTGCAGGTTCTATTGTTTGGAAAATAAATGAATACGATTGTAATCAAATTTGATGAGGGCTCTTGAAAAAGATTCTAGAGTTAGTCCTCATTTACCAACCATTCATTCAGCGACCGTTTGAAGTTATGACGGTGCTGAAAAAATAACTTTACGACAACATTTACAACTATTTATGACCTTCACAGAGTCCCTCAGTCACATGATTGCCATTACAGTCAGTATGCATTGTCCTGTGCCTGACCTGGGCTTTTAAATCCCCCCCCCCTTGCAGAGTAGAGAGCTTAGAGAGAGGGTTTGCAAGAAAGTAAGCTGTTTGCTCTTCTACACATTGAAAGCAATGTGATCATACCGGCAGCGCAGGGCTGGGAACCGTGGCACATTACATAACAGCAGTGGGAAAGGGTCAAGCAAAGGATACAGAAATTACTTTTTTTCTCCCCCCACCCCCTTGCAGTGTGGAAAGATTGGAGAAGAGGAGATTTCAAGAGGGTACTATAAGCTGTTTGCATAGCACGCCCACAGCTTCCAGCCCCAGGCTGTGGCATGATCACATTGCTTTCGATGTATACAAGACAGGCACTCGAGCATTACAAAGGGCAGGAGAGTGGGTAGGAGGCAAACACAAGCCAAAGGTGTGAAACCAACTAATCTTGTCTCTTTCCAGCCAGAAAGTACAGGCACATGATTTCCCACTTAGTGACTGCTTCGCTTAGTGGCAGTTGCCGGTCCCCGTTAGGGTCATTAAGCAAGGACTACCTGTACCATGGAAACGTGAACATGGATATCATCAAAGCTCCTAACAGAAAGCTGGCCATACCTCCTTTCGCTTGCATCAGACACCGAATGGCTTCCTCAGCTTCCTCTGGGGTGGTGGTTTTGATCTGTTTTACGTTATATGGCTTACTAATTCCAGTTCGTGATTTTGGCTTGCAAGAAAATGTAAAAACAAAGCAGTAATAAAAAGAGCGTCTAGAGGGAAGGTAAATCCAACAGGTGCCCCTTCTGTAAAGCAGTTTATAAACATGAGAATAGGCTTGTTTTTTTCAGGGGTCAGCACTTTTCTACTGGTCATACCTTCATGAAAGTTAACCTTTATCTCCTCTTTCTTTATTCCTTTCCTGTTCTTGGTTGCTGACCCCATACACATATTTTTTATTTAAAATATTCTTCATCTGCTTTCTACTAAAACATGCTCAGAGCAGCTGTTAGATCAATCTCCTCTAGCTTGGTGCTGTCTGGAGGTGTTGGATTATGGTTTCCATCATCTCAGGTAGCATGACCATTAGAGATTACGGCAGTTCACTTCATCCAAAGAGCACTAGGTTGGAGAAGGTATCTTATAATTTCCAAAGATATCCTATTTAGGGGGTTGGTATTAGTGATTTGGTGCTCAAGACCTTTTTGGTATTTCAGTGCTTCTCATAAGAGAATCTTAGCTTAATATTATACTGAGTAAACTGTTTTGTTTTGTTTTTTTCTTTTTAGTACTTGAAACAATTGTACTGCGCTACTCACTGGTTGCTGTGGTGCTCCTGGAAGAAGCTTTGCTGTATGCAAGATGGAAGACAAGGAGTGGTTTCCTGAAGAGATGGAACCATCTGAAGGGGATTTTTTAATGGACACTGCAACTGTGGAAAAAAAACACATAAATAATTTCTTAATGGGATGTGGTGTTGTATAAGTATCTAATATACAGTGGTACCTCTACTTACGAACGCCCCTACTTACGAATTTTTCGAGATACGATCAGCTCCAACCATTTTTTAATGGACACTGCAACTGTGGAAAAAAAACACATAAATAATTTCTTAATGGGATGTGGTGTTGTATAAGTATCTAATATACAGTGGTACCTCTACTTACGAACGCCCCTACTTACGAATTTTTCGAGATACGATCAGCTCCAGCCCCAAAAATTTACCTCTACTTATGAACTCGCCTCAATTTACGAACCGGATCCGCGGCCATTTTCTGCCCATTCCACGTGGTCCGCGGCCATTTTCCGCCCGTTCCACGTGATCCGCGGCCATTTCCCGCCCGTTCCACGTGGTCCACGGCCGTTTTCCCGCCCGTTCCACGTGATCCACGGCCATTTCCCGCCCGTTCCACGTGGTCCACGGCTGTTTTCCCGCCCGTTCCACGTGATCCGCGGCCATTTTCCGCCCGTTCCACGTGGTCCGCGGCTGTTTTTCCACCCCGACACGTGGTCCGCGGCCATTTTTCTGCCCTGCTGCGTGGTCAGTGGCCGTTTTTCCACCCCTGACGTGTGGTCCGCAGATGCCGGAACGGATTAACGGTAATTACACTGAACCTTATGGGAAAATTTACTTCGACTTGCAACCAACTCGACTTGCGATCAGAGTCATGGAACGGATTAAGTTCGTAAGTAGAGGTACCACTGTATTGTCCAATATTGACAGGTTGGCCAGCTTTTTATTTTAAAAATCCTGAGAACATGGGAGTAGGCTGGAGACAGAACTTGGTGGACGTGGCTACGCTCCTGTCATAGCTAGTAAGGAAATGTTCTATCTGCTCCTATAACAAGGGCCAACTGATAGGGAAAAAAGAATTTGGACTTGGATATCTGCCTGGGAGTGAGGTACCTATGGAGGTAGGTGAAAAACCAACTTACATATTTTTTGTTGCCAAGTTAAGCAAATTCCTCTGTTTCTGTGAGCCCTAACTTAACAGAAATTGTGGGGGAGGAAAAACACACACACACTGCTGTTTCTTACATATAAAGTGCTAAACTGCGGTTGCATTCAGCAATCTAGCTTGTTAGTGTGCATGTATGGGTTTTATACAGTTCAAGCACATGCAAATTTCTGAATATTACTCAAAACCATATTGCTTTACTCAAAAGATTCCAACAATCAAGTCCAATATTTTTTACCCCTACAACCCCAACATCAAGCAGCTAATTGAAAGTCAGACAGCAACAGATATAGATATCTCCAGGCTAAATCAACTTCATGTCATGCCTCTTAGATAAGGTTTGGATAACAGTGTGAGATGGTTGTCGAGAAAGGTTCTTTGTACAGGGCACAAAAATCAGCTTTTATTGACAAAGAATTTAGAGGAGACTAATGCAGAAATCTTCTCATGCACAGTACATGCAACCTTGCTTTCCTCACATATTCAGGGTTGTCATTTCAGAAATCCAGACACCTTTTTTTCCACCAAGTGGAATCTCTTTGAGAAAGCACCCAACTCTTACCTGGCGGGGGAGGTCGCTGTGGTGGCTGAAGCTGCTGAGGCCTACCAGGCACGGATAGAGACCTGGTTGGGGAGCGATGACGGAACTCCCCATTTTCTTCAAATTCTTGTTTTAGTTCAGCCAGGTCAGCGTTATCTAGTGAACATGGCAAAAGAATATCAAATTAGAAAGCAAAATGTTACCAAGAGAAAATGTTGACCTTGAAATTAAAAGGTTACCTACGAAGGAAGGAAACTGAGAAATAACCAAGCAACACCTAAACATGCACTTGGTTCATGAGGAAAATTACCAAGGATTCAATGAGCCACATTCAATCATTGTCATCTATCAAATAGCAATGTATTAGAGTTAATCAACTGACCCAGTCATTTGCTTCCTGCTATTCCTAGTGGTGAAACAACTAGTCATAAAGGAAAGATTAATCAGAAATCAAGTGGCCTGTTCTGTTAATCCTCCATGAATGATGGCATGAAGTTTGAGCCACATGACCTACTCAGAAAGTGTAACAAAGATTTCCAAAAAGGATACGAGTGCATATTCAGTGTGCATATACTGCTCACAAAGCAGTAAATGCAAAAGGTATGGCACAGACATTCACACACCTAAACCACCCCAACCAAGTTTGTTCATTAATCTTTAAAAAGAGCTCAAATTAACTGTTATGATATATCTCCAGGGCATCATCATCCTGTCCCATAAAGTCTTAGTCATGAACATAAAAACCAATTATATAATTAACTATATGAATAGCTCTAACACAGTCATAAACTTTGTCCACATAATTGGGTTTACTTATTCCAATAAAAAAGCCTTCTTTGAATGACCCAACCAACTTTTATGACTATGGCTCCACTTGTCTTTCATCATGAAAGGATGGATACCTTTATATGGATGTGGCTTTCTTCCAGCAAGATGTGATTTGTTTGCATGTACGGTAGATGCCATGCTCACATATTCCGATCCATCGCCCAGCTCTTCTACTGCTGATACCGTTTCTGTCCCAAATGGTACTGGCGGCAACATTTCATCCAAATAATCATCTTCCTCATCTAGGATATCACCTAAATCGGAAAATGTTACAATGGAATAAGGAAGGAGAAGAATATTTTATTTTATTTGACATTTCAGCTAAAAGAGTCATTTGTATAGTGAGATGGGCAGCACATATAAATTTGAAAAACAAACAAACAAACAAATTAATTAATTAATTAAAAGGAGGGGATTTTTTTTTTTTACAAATTATACTGATCTGCAAAGAAAATGGCCACCCACTCAGATCAACCTCCAGGGAGAAAGAGACCTCATGATCAAAGCTTATACTTTCACCTACATCACGTACCTTCTGATTCATAATCTAAACTTGAAAAATCAAAATTTTCCTCCAGCAGACAGGAATTTGCCGTGGGTGACATAGGAGCGATACTGTCGCGTTTCCTAGCAATTTCCTCTTGAAGACCTTTCAGCCAATCTTTGGTTTTAGGACAAATCTTCACAATCCTGCCTTTAATCTAGACATAAAAATCCCAATACATTATTTTTCTTATCATCAACCAAACGATTACTCATAAGCAAGACTCAGATATTAACACAATGTAAGGCAATATCCTGTAGAGGAAACTGAAGACAAAAGACTTCAATATATATTTAAGATCATGGCTACTATTGCAAATTAGAGATATTTGACTCTTTCGAGGATATATTGTTATAATATGTATCAATAATTGGCCTTAACAGAGAGCCATTCCTTCTCATGCCAAAGAATTAAAAAAAAAAATGGAAGCAATTAAGCTGGGTTAATATCGTGGGTTCTATATGTAATTTTCTATTTTTTGTTCTATTTGGTTATATTTGTATCATTACAGCTTATAATGGAGGAAAGACATCAAGGTTCCCTACATGCCAGGATGGAAAACGAAAAATGACTTACTGGTATTTAAATAGGCAGTCATTGCCAAGTTCTCTCTAATGGTCAATTAGTAAGTAATTATTTCCCAATTTGCATTTTCTGAAATCCTCCTTAAAAGGCAGCTAATTTCAGCTAGTTTCCAGTACCGTACGGATGGTACTCCACTCACCCATTATGTACCTTAAAAAATCAGCCTGCAGATGCTTTTACCAAATCCATGCACAACAGGAAAATAGATTTTTTTCTGGGTAATTGCAAAAGGTAGCATATTAAAACTAACAAACTGACTGTGTCATGACCTCCATATAAAAGCTCATTCCCTCATAAATGAATTTATTCCTTAAAGTATCACAGGGATCTTCTTGGTTGGAGGTGTTTTCTGGTCTAACAGCTTGACATTTTCAGATCAATTCTCTGGAGACCATTTTAGCAGCTAACATTTTAAAAAGTTGATCAACCTGAAACTTCAAGCTGGTGTTCAGGGAAATGTCAACTCTATATGAGAAGGATGTCCGTAATTGCCAGTGGTGAAAGCAAGGCAAACAGTTAACGTTGGCTGGCTTTCTCTAAACAAAATAGCCACCATGAAGGATGCTACTTGGTCACTCAGGCATTTCAAACAGTACAGGCAGCTTTGGTTTGTGTGTTTTACCTTGATGCCATCCACATCGAGAACATGAAGAGCAGATCTGCTTTCTGAAAATGTAACCAACATTTGACCTCCATTGATCCTAACAAGAACAGACACAGATCAAATAAACTCTTTATCTGCAGATTACTTTCAGAGTTTAGCTTGTTGCGTTCATTTGGAATGAATGCTTCTCAGTAGCTGAAATTCAGCTACATCACGTTTCCCCTCTCTCCTCAGATATACAAGGAGAGGCTTATTTGTAACACAGAAATGAGGAAAAGAGAAAGCATCAATAACTTGGATTCCCCTTTCATTGATGGTTCTTATGTATCATCTAAATTGAAAGCATAAGAAGAGTCCTGCTGGAGAAGCAGATTAAGCCTTCTCCAGTCTAACCTCCTCCTTCCCAAAGGTGCTTCTAGGAAGTTCACAGAAAGGATGTGAGGGCCTGTTCTCTCAAGTTCCTTAGTAACTGACATGCCCCCTCTGAATATTCTCCATTGTTAGATCAGGACCTTATGGGCAAAAATACACTTTTTGAAGACAATACTGTTCTCATACATCTGGAGCTTCCTAAACAAGAAGAGCCCATGTGGACCTTAGCTGTAGTTGGCCATTGAGGTTCATGTAGCTGGCAGCATATGGCTGTGGGGATTCGGCTCTGGTGCGTGGAAAGGGGATGATGTTTCTCACCTATTTATCTTGTTTAAAGTCAATAGTTTCTCATGGAGTGAAACTGATTCTCTGAAAGCAGAATCCCCAACAGGACTCTTGTCTCCCTTCTCCTCCCAATGACCTTGCCCAAGACTGCTAGCAGCCAGAGAGATGGATAGACAGGGATGTGCACGAGTGGGAGAAAGGATCACTGGTATATGTGTGTGTGTGTGTGGATATGAATAGATGTGTGCAGTATGAGAAAGAATAGTGTGTGCAATATAGCCCCTGAGTGTGATATAGTAATCACAAAAATCCAAGGATGTTTGACATATGTTGGGAAATATAAGAGTTTATAATATTAGAGCATACCATGAAAAGTTTTTGTCTGAGGCATTAAAGAATCCATTGATCTGACTGCCCTTACTTGACTTAAGGCGAAGTCCATTGAACCTCAGTAATTTAGAAATATATCTAGAATCCAAAATATTACAAGGAATGCTTTTGTTTTTTTTAAAGTGCTATTCAGGGAATTTGTCAACTTTGCCAGAGCAAATTTCTAATCAGCCACCAAATAAGCAGATGGGGAAGCTGAGTGATTTCTTCCTAAAAATGGTGGAACATTCATTAATTGAACATTCATCAATTATTATTGAACTATTATTACATTAATATGTTTTCAACCATCAATGTTCTCTAACATCATTATATTTTTATTGGCGTGGATCCTAACTTTTTACTTCACAATTTAAAGGAAATGCTGTAATAAAAGGAGAGTTTATTTGCTTGTTTGTTAGATTTATAATCCACTCTTCTTCTGGAGTTATATTCATGGAATGGTTCTTTATATATGGGGAGTCTCCTTCCATGAAGGAAAGCTCTCCTCAAAATTAAGATCCAAGTATTATTTTCTAAAATTAACATCATATTTTACCTGACAAGCACAACAGTGCCATAAGTCTCAAAGATCTGCATAAGCTCCGCATGCAAATCCTCAGGAAATTCATCTTTCTCTTCAGGGGATGAGTACAATAGAGACACCACTACTGTAGCATCTAGAGGTCCCTGAAAAGATGATACTTCCTGGAAAACATTATCCCGAGCAGACACATCAACCTCTTGGATTTCCACTTCCACAACAGCTAAAACAGGCCTATGCAGAGATAACAAGGGAAGGAAAAAAAGTTAGTAAGGATTACAGGAGGTAGATAGGAGGACAGAAGATAAAATGCTGACATGTTATTGAAAATCAGTTGTATAACACAAGCCATTAAGCTTGGACCTCCTTAATATTTACTGTTTGATTACTTGGTTTCTCAAACTATTTTGCTGCATAACTTAGGTAGCATATGACATCTCTGTTTAGTAACGAAAAGATATCCGTGAGCATGCTCCTATAAATAATTGCCCAACAGGAGAAAAGGCAATGAATAAGTAGCCACAGGGAGGCTTGTAATTATTTATTGATTACATCTACTTATTTACCTACCCAAGTTGACTCAACACAATTTCCAGGAGTCCAGAAATACCAATAAAACAATGCTAACAATTATTCTGTTATTTAATTTGGCAGAGCTGCTCTGTGGCACACCAGGTAGCTTTTTTCTTCAGTTCTCAGATTGGGTCTATGTATGTCCAAGTTTGTGTGTGGCTAAGATACATATAGAAGAATGAAAAATGACACAGAGCAAGTTAGGGTTAAGCCCTTTAGATGCTGCTAACTAAAACTTCCAGGAACTCTAGGCAGTATGACAATGGTAAGTGACAGCTTTTCCACTACTGCTCCAAAACTGCCTCCATAGGAAGCAAGAAACCAATTTTGATTGGTGTACGAATATTCTATACATTTCATATAGTGATTCCACAAAGCAGCATTAAAATGTTGAAACCTTATTCTCCATAGGATCTATAAAAGGCTTGATGTTCCTGAGAACCTGGTAGAATACCACAAGGGATAACATGGGAATCCCCTCTGGGATTCCTTCTAAAGTTGCAAAGTGTGGCAATACTGTTGTGAAGTTGCACAAACAACTCAGCTGCAATTTCAAAGGCAAAGCCTGTCCCTGCCCTACAAATGTATAAATACACGTATAAATTATTTTTCTATAAACTCTGCTAATTTCAGTGATACTGTTTTGCCAAGTGCAATTTGAATGATCAGATTTGGTGTGTGTGTCTGTGTGTGTGTGTGTGAAAAATGGAAGTGTATTAATCAGTCAAAAAAGAAAAAAGTACATTTCAGCAAAGTAAGTTGTAGTCAAATTAATTTATGAATGAAATAAATCAATGAAATTGTAGCTTTTAAAAATGTAATTTCTTTTCTTTTTATGTACTTCTTTTAAACAAGGTAAAAAGAGAATTTATAGTTGGGTTTGCAATCTAAGAGAAATAAATCATCCCCCTTTTTTTTCTTTTGCTGGTACCAATAGGCACATACTGACTTTCCAGAATGCTGGAAGATAGGACAACAATGGTTGCAATCTCATTATAAGTATGCAAATCAGAGACTAACAGCTCTCAGGTTATGTCACATTGTTCTATCAGTCGTTTTATTCTATGTCTATATTTAGTTATAAGTACGTAATAAATAAAACCACTACTATGACTATAATAGGACTAAACACAGATTCAACATTGTTTGGTACATCTGTCACTGGAGGTCCATGATTATCCAGCTTCCCACGATTACCGTTGATGGAATTCACATAATTGTTAGTACAGTACTTGCTTTTTAATCTGATAGCCATATAAACATTTTAGGGAGGACACAGATGTCTTTGCGGACAAGTAATTAAATGTGTTGTGACTTCACAATGCAAGCCCTGTGACTTATGTATGTGTTTCCAATGTCAGGTCACCAGTATGAAAGGCCTGTGTTTAGGCTGTGATGTCACAACATACTTCTGGTCATGTTTGCATCCTTTTGTACTTAACACCTTGGTGGGGGTGGGGGAAACGGGCTTTAAATCTACACTGTCCGTGTCAATGTAATGTACAGCAGGAATCAGCCTAACATTCATCTCAGAAATCTCGCAAACTAAATCCTTGAATAATGAAAGGAACTCACGGATTTGAACTAAGGAATATCATAACTTGAGAAGTTATTTTAGCCTCTTGGCAATGGTCAGTATTTGTGATCATTTAGAGTTGCTTTATAATGAATTGGATCTTTAGTTCAGCTAGCCCAGTTCTATTTACTCTGCTGCCTAGTAGTGATTTTCTAAGGCCATAAATAGAGATCACTTTAAATGGAGAAGCTATCTGTTATGTTTGGTTTTTACAAATGCAAAACATGTGCTCCATGACATCCCAGAAGAGATTATGCTACCTGTGGTCACTGGCCTGGAGCTCAGCTCTTCCATAATGCATCAAGGCACCAGGAGACCAAATGGGTCTGACTTTGGTTTCGGCACTGAGATCAGTATCAAGAAGACTGACCTCTCCAGCTGTGAAAAAACAAAATAACAGGTTCAGAATTTAGAACAATGAAGGCAAATTTTCAAGCATTGGTCCCTGAATCATGTGCCTGATTCACACATAACAGTAAACCATAATAACTGAGGTGGTTTCTTTTTTACCTAATCCATCAATCAGGGTTTTAAAAAAACTATGTGAGATGCATGAACCCATCCACTAAGTCAAAAATAAACAAACTCACCATTATTTTGACTAAGCCATGTTGCCTGCATGACAGCTCATAATTTATATGGCACCAAATAGACAAGAAGGATGTAAATTATTGACATTATTGTATTACAGGAGACTTGCAACAGGACAAGTAATAAAATGCAATACAATGATGATAAATAATACCAATTCCTGTAAGGCCATAAGTTTACATGACCATTCATGAAGTTAAAACAGCAATTTGGGCTCTCTGTTATGTAGGAATTGTCACAAAGCAGCATTTCCAAAATGTCTTGGGTGCAGAAAGAGGCCTTCTGTGATTAACAAGGGCAGAAAATGCTGAATCTAATTGAGTATGAAATATAATTAAAAAATCAATTATTGGTTTGATAGAAACCAGGGTAAGACTATCCCCAATATTTAATTTAATGAGTAAAATCCTTACTGAATCAAACTTTCTGCATACAAGTAAATCTTTAAGTAATGCCAGAACCACTGGATTATTTTTTGATCAGTATCATGCCCTCTTCCCAAGGAATATTTTCTCAGTGATATGAACTATATTCCATTAACAGATAGTGATCTTTGCAAAGCTATGCATGGAGTTTCATAATTGAGCACTGCTTTTTATGATGAATATTATAAACAATCTAAGCCAGTGTTTCTCAACCTTGGTTACTTTAAGATATGTAGACTTCAACTCCCAGAATTCCCCAGCTAGCATGCTGCAGCATGCTAGCTGGGGAATTCTGGGAGTTGAAGTCCACACATCTTAAAACTGCCAAGATTGAGAAACAGTGATCTAAGCTAAAGAAATCCCCAGAAAAATAATAGGGACCCCACCAACCTGTTTTATCAACTGGAAGTTTCTTCCTCCACCAAAGAACTCTATCAGTCCACGCTGGAGTTCTACATTTATCACTTGTATCATAAGCCTCAGAGCCAACATCATATTTATATGTGGGACCAAAATTAATAGTTCCTTCATGAAAGTCCTTAAAAATCTACGAAAGAAAGTACTGATCATCTAAAATAAAACTTATAGAGCTAGCCATGCATCCCATCCCATCCCATCCCATCCCATCCCATCCCATCCCATCCCATCTCTTTGTAGCCACTGGAAAGACTTTCAGTGGTTTACAGCACAACCATAAAAAGAACAGCACAACAAAACATCCATGCTACAATTAACTCGGTAATTATAAATAAAAACAACACAGCTCAAATCACCTACACAAACTAATAAATTAGAAGTGTCATTTCAAACTCTAAAGACTCTCTGAAATAGTTTTGTTTTTAATAACTTGTAGAGAAGCAGCAGCATGGATATTGATCAAATTTCAAATTCCAAAATACAGTGCTCCTCATCCTTCTCATTACAGAAAGTCCTCGAGTTACAACAGCAATTGGGACCAGAATTTCCATCACTAAGTGATGCAGTTATAAAGTGCGACCACATTGCTTAGCAAGAGCAATCCCTGGAGTCCCCATTGCCTTGCAAGCAGGCCAGCTGGCAGGTAAGTGGCCGCTGCTGGGTGGGAGGGGGAGTAAGGGGGTGTGCAGGTGGCCAGGGAGACGTGGTGCAAGCGCAGTGGGGTTTGAAGTGGTTGCTGCTGGGTGAGGGAGGGTGCGCAAGTGGCCAGAGAGGTGCAGCGCAGGTGCAGTGAGTTTCTGTGAGGGTATGAGTGGCCAGTGAGGTGTGGCATGAGCGCAAAGGGGCTGGGAGAAGGTGCACAGGTGGGGGAGACTTACCTGAGTAACCTGTGACCTTCACAGCTGGCTTACCCATTGACTTTGCTTGTGGGAAGCCAACAGGGAAGGTCGCAAATCACAATCACATGATACTGCAACCGTCGTATTTGCCAGCCAGTTGCCAAGCACCCAGATTGCGATCACATGACCGTGGGGGTGCTGGGAAGGCCAGAACTTCAAGGACTGGTCATAACCACCACTTGTTCAGCACCGTTGTTACTTTGGTCACTGAAGAAGTGGTTGTTAACCAAGGACTACCTGTATTATATTTATAGTATTATTAAACATTCACTCTATCTTTGTTCCTTCCACAGTAAAGGTATACATTGACAAATTCTTTGCACCTATCTCCAGACACTAAGCAGCCTCAAGGCTTTTTTAATTTCTGGAAGGTGGCATAACATAAACACAGACCACACCCTGAACCTCCAGTTTTAAAAAGTTAAGGCCTTCAAGACAGCCAGTAGAGTCAATACTTTTGTAAACAACCCCAACATCTTTACCTTCCCGCTGGATTTCTGCTGCTGCAGTTGATCAAATTCCAAGAGTGCCTTCCAGTCCTGTCGTTTGAGAAAGTAAAATACTTCTTCATAAGTCAAGTCAATGCGATAGTTGAAATCACCGCACCAGAAAACGTAGTCATGAGAAAACATACTTCTTCCCTGTTTGAGGAAAAACTCATTAAACAGCAGCATTTAAAAATTCTTTATCAACCCAGTTACATAAAGAATTAAGAAGTCTCAATCCAGCCATTTAACTATAGCTCTCTTTGAATATAAAATATACCATCTCATGCTGGAATAACCAAAGCCAAATTACATAATTAGTTAACATAATCATGATCATATAAGATAAAATACAGTGGGGCAAAAAAGTATTTAGTCAGCCACCAATTGTGCAAGTTCTCCCACTTAAAAAGAGAGAAAACATACTTCTTCCCTGTTTGAGGAAAAACTCATTAAACAGCAGCATTTAAAAATTCTTTATCAACCCACCGCCCGGGCAACGAAGGAGTGGCTTCGTAAGAAGCATTTCAAGGTCCCGCCCGGGCAACGAAGGAGTGGCTTCGTAAGAAGCATTTCAAGGTCCCGCCCGGGCAACGAAGGAGTGGCTTCGTAAGAAGCATTTCAAGGTCCCGCCCGGGCAACGAAGGAGTGGCTTCGTAAGAAGCATTTCAAGGTCCCGCCCGGGCAACGAAGGAGTGGCTTCGTAAGAAGCATTTCAAGGTCCCGCCCGGGCAACGAAGGAGTGGCTTCGTAAGAAGCATTTCAAGGTCCCGCCCGGGCAACGAAGGAGTGGCTTCGTAAGAAGCATTTCAAGGTCCCGCCCGGGCAACGAAGGAGTGGCTTCGTAAGAAGCATTTCAAGGTCCCGCCCGGGCAACGAAGGAGTGGCTTCGTAAGAAGCATTTCAAGGTCCCGCCCGGGCAACGAAGGAGTGGCTTCGTAAGAAGCATTTCAAGGTCCCGCCCGGGCAACGAAGGAGTGGCTTCGTAAGAAGCATTTCAAGGTCCCGCCCGGGCAACGAAGGAGTGGCTTCGTAAGAAGCATTTCAAGGTCCCGCCCGGGCAACGAAGGAGTGGCTTCGTAAGAAGCATTTCAAGGTCCCGCCCGGGCAACGAAGGAGTGGCTTCGTAAGAAGCATTTCAAGGTCCCGCCCGGGCAACGAAGGAGTGGCTTCGTAAGAAGCATTTCAAGGTCCCGCCCGGGCAACGAAGGAGTGGCTTCGTAAGAAGCATTTCAAGGTCCTCTCTTTTTAAGTGGGAGAACTTGCACAATTGGTGGCTGACTAAATACTTTTTTGCCCCACTGTAGTTGGTCTCAAAATTAAATGCAGGTAAAATTGCTCCCTTTAAACTAAATTTAAAGCCTCATAATGGATTGATCAAATGATTGATTATAATATAAAACTTGATTTCGCATGATGTGCCAAGAAGAGGAATAAATCATGTTTCAGTTTTGTTGTTCAATTCATGGCTTGTCATGGACAAACTAGGAATTATACTTTAAAATAAACTTTGGTTAGTTTGTTAACCAATCTAGAGTCATAATTTGTAGTTTTACAAATTTTAATCAATTCCTGATATGTACTTAGAATCCAGTAACTAGAGAAAAAAACACAAAAGCCTGTTGTTTCTCTTGCTAGCACTGCATATAAGAAGTGCCAACTTGAGATTTTGCTAAGGTTCACAGAAACTCATGTACACAATACTAAATCATAGTTTAATAAAAATTAATATCTAAGGTAATAAATAGTAAACCCACTTCTCAATTCATGCTCATTTAGCATCCACAACACTTTCAGTCACATTCTTAAAAAAATAGAATAAGCATAACAGAAATTCAGACAATATCTAAGCCAGGGTTTTTTAACCTTTTTGTGCCATGGACCCTTCTGAGAGTTGGGTAAAACCTATGGACTTTCTCAGAAAAATGTCTTTAAATAAAAATAGAATAAAATGCATAGATATAGATTGTATCTCTGTACAAAGGAAACCAATTGTGGTCAAATACACTTATCAAAATATTAAATAACAAATATATTTTATTTATTAATCAAATTTATATAGCCGCCCATCTCACAAGAAGTGACTATAATATATATGTCACTATAATAATATATGCACTTCTTTATTAGTCCATTAAATAAATAATGAGACAATATCCTTATTTAGGGTTTAATATTTGTAGATAGTGATATTTATTGAAGTTAACAAACATTTTTGGAGCCTAGAGGCCACAAATTACTTCACTGCCTACGTGCATTATTAAATGAAAAGTTAATTTTCAGTTAGAGGTTAGCTTAAATAAAGTTGCACTTTTCTTTTTGTGATCCATGTTCATGGATTCCTGACATCAATCCATGGAGCCCAAGGGATCCCAGGTTAAGAACCCCTGATTTAAGAACCCCTGATTTAAGAACCCCTGATTTAAGAACCCCTGATTTAAGCAATGTAAAAGATATATAGTTGGAAAGATTCCATAAAGAAAACAAACGTAGTTTCAAATCAAAGCATCACTAGAGGGCACTGTTAATAAAGCTATATAATAATAAAGGTGAATTTGCAAATGTAATTTTACAAATACAAACTGCTTAATTAGCTGATGATCAGTAAAGACATTTATAAGAATTGTTCTGCAAAAACGCAAAGCATCTTTTCAAGGCATTAAGGTTTCTAGCTTGTTAACTGGCTGAGTTATTCTCTGAATCTTGGAAACAGAGAATTGGCTATTAGCCATTCTTCCAAAATGCAAGGACTTGCCAGCACAGAAAGATAAACAAACTCATTCCATGGGCTATTTCTTGATGCTGGCATTTTTTTAATCTATAAAGAAATGTTTGAAGAAAAAGAAAGGGCAGACATGAAAATCTAATGAACTACTCAATCTGTTACTATAGCAAATAAGCCTATTCTTTGTCAGCAACATGTATCCTTAGAACAAGGGTCAGATTTTAGAAAGAGCTGTGTTAAAGCTCTAAGTATTACAGTATGATTTGTGATTGCTCTAAATTCTGAGAATTAAGAAGGAAGCATGGTGAAAACATGTTCAGCAGGAATGGGAGTAATTTGTAATTTATAAAAAAGATTGCATTCTCTCCCCCTGCAAAACAAGTAAAGGACTTCAGAAATAATCATGAAGCCATCGCTTCCTTCTTTCATTATCACCTGACTTAATTAACCTGACTTAATGACATCATCAAGTTTCTTCTGTGACCCAACTGGCCACAATCATCTTAAGAAGCCTCTTTCTGAAAAATGGAACCTGCAAAATGTCTCCTCAGGGAAAGGGTTTTGAATAGGATTTTCTGTAATTTGCTCCTTATGGTTAGAATTTCAGCTTCTATTTTACAGTTTTATTTTGTTTATACTAAATTAATCAACAACAAAAAATCACACTAAAGGATTAAATTATCAAAATTGCTAAACATAACATTTTTTAAGGGGGGGTAGGCCTCGAAATTATCTTCTATACCAAACAACACTAAAATCTTTATCAAATTGCTTGAAAGTCTTCTTTGTTGCCTCATTGAAAAAAGATTAATTTGGATGTTAAGAAACAACTGTTATCAACAATCCATTGCCATAAATCAGGTGTTGATTTCTCCTTCCACTGCTGCGTGATAATTTCTATAGCTGATCCCCATACCCCCAAAATCTACAATTCTTAATATCTTGATAGATTCCAAATACTGTGGATATAACCAGCAAGAATGTATCTTATTCAGCAATTGATCCAGGGTCATATTAATAATACTATTGAAATCAGCCCAAAATGCAATAAAAAGAGGGCAAGACCAAACATTATGTGTTAATTTACTACAAAGTCCTTGTCATAAAATATTAATGAAGGCCAGTATATACAAGACAACAGTATATACAAGACAACGTATTTTGTTGTATTAATTCCATATTTTTATCTCTATTGCTATCACTATCTCTATATTTCAAAGCTTTCAATAACCAGCATGTATCTACAGTACTATGTAACAAATTCTGAAGTTGCCTTATTGACCTTGGCCAAAGCACATTTTTTCCAGATCCCCTCCATTGATTATGTTATTTTATTATTTATTTATTATTTTACAAGACTTATAAGCCCCTCCAGTCAAGGCTGACTCTGAGTGATAAATTCAGATGAAATTTGAATGTAGCAGTATAAATAATAACAGTAATGGCAAGAGCAAGATAAACAATACAAATAATAAATCATATGTATATTAAATATCTAACTACATACACAGACACATTAATTTAAACACAGCAATATAAATAGTAACAATAAAATAAATAATAGGTATAAAAGGGAAAAAAGTTTAAAAAAAAGGAATGCCAGAATCAATGGATCAAAAATTAAAATATCATTCGTCATAATAGCATTCCAGTCCCGGTGGTCTAATGGAACAGCCTCACTTTAATGGATTTTCTGAACGCCAGGAGGGAAGAAGCCATTTTAATGTCAGGAGGCAAGCTACTGCAAAGGAAGGGGGCTGCAGCTGAAAACGCACACTTTCAAAGTCCCTGCAGATGACATTCCCTTAAGCGAAGGGGCCTGGACTGAGCCATCCTTACTCAATCTTTACAGGTAGGCAGAAAGATACTGGGAGAAGGTAGTTCCCCAAATATCTAGGCCAGTGTTTCTCAGCCTTGACAACTTTAAGATACGTGGACTTCAACTTCCAGAATTCCCTACCCAGCATGCCCGGTGGGGAATTCTGGGAGTTGAAGTCCACATATCTTAAAGTTGTCAACGTTGAGAAACACTGGTCTAGACCTTGAACCATGAAGAGCTTTAAAGGTGATAGCAAGCACCTTAAATTGCACCTGGAATCATACTGGCAAGCATAGCTACTTAAGCTGCTGCATTCTAGAACAGTTCCTCTTCTCTTCTCCCGATCCCTAACCTTTCCTACCATCTCTCTTAATTTTATGCTTCAGGTCCGCAGGCAAGGAATTGACCTTTTAAATGTACTGTTCAGGACTTTAATTTTTAAAGAACATAAATAAATACATACATACATACATACATACATACATACATGACTATTATAATAGCCTGGGAGAAGAAGTGATTAGTAATAGGTGGTACGTAAAAAAAAAATCCACATGCATATACATCTTTGCCAAAATGTATTTTTGTCTTGAAAAATGGGCAAATTCAGCACGACTGTAAATGAATCATTCCACAGACCTTACCATTGGGAAACTCAGTTTCTGAGTGATCTCTTTATAGTCCTCATTCCGTTCTTTCATCTGAGACTGACCAGCTGTCAAGTGACTGCACACAAAGCATAAGCTGGTGCTATGCAGTTGGAAACGGATGGCAACTGCTCCTTTGTTTCCAGCTTTCCCTCCCATTCCAGTCTTCACTGTGTCCACTGCTATATCCCTGGGCAAAAAGTGATAAAACCCAAAGCAAAAATTAAACCTTTAGGAGGAACCTGAAAATTCTGAACAAGTGGTGGCTTTAGACTTGGTTCTTTCTGAACAGAAGAGCATTTCCATTCATGGATAGAATGGGGATCCATTGGAGATTCCCTAGTGGAAAAAGGAGTGAAGAAATTTTTCTTATTCCCAATTTTCTCTGGTGCAAAAATGAGCAATCTATGGCCCGAAGGCTGCATATTGTCCCTCAGCACCCACTCTCTGCCCCCAGTTTCCTCCCCGATTATATCAATCTGACAACAAAAATGCTGATATTCAACAGTGCGGTCTGTCTTTCTGCAAAACTAAGGGGCAAAGACAAACGATACACACTTTAAAGCCCTCCAATTGCCACCAAAAGGGCCACAAAAGTTGGTTGTGCCCTGCCTACTGACATTTTCACAGCACTGGCAATGCTGTTGGCAAAAAAATAAAGTAGCTCAAAAAAGACACACTTTCAATATAGACAATGGAGGTACCACCTCCACCCTCCAAGACTAGCAAAATTCTGGACAAGTCTAGAACCGAATACTAGAATGCAAAATATCAAAGATTAGTTAAAAAGTTCCTTGCCAGTGTAAAATTAAATACCCCAGGGAGCACCCCCCCCCCCCCCCCCAAATCCTACTGGAGATGTCAACAAAGAGGTCCTCCAAAACTTTTCACCAAATAGCAATTATTAATTTGATAGAAGAGTGGGAAAACAATACATAAATAAAGTACACAAGCCACATTTTTTCCTGTTCATGCTCACTATTTGGAGTATGGCCCCTGACACACCAGTGCAATTCTCAAACTAAAGCTGGCACACACCCTGTTATACATGATTATTCAGCAGTAGGGCTAAAAGACTTTGGTGGAAGTTTCTCTAGGAAACGGGATATGAGATGTTAGCCATAGACCCTCAATAGTGAAAATTTTCTCAATTTAGCATCATAAACTGTGCATAGAGATGTCACTCTTCAGATTTTAAGTGGGAAGGTGCTTCAGATTTAGCCTGGGGACACTCACTCTGTTTGATGATGACTCCTTAAAGAAACCATGTCTTCTCCTCAGTTCACCCAGTAGCCTTGGGATCCCAAGAAAATATGTGTTTCACTTAAGGGGGTCTTAAGGGGGTGGTGAAAAGCTTTGCAGATGTGTTACTTGCCGTTGCTTCCTCCTTAACTCAAACACTTATTTTCCTGGGATCCTGGGCACAACTTCTTTCAAGAGTTACCAGTAGATAGGGAGAACATGGCCATATGGGGCAGATCTGAAAGACCTTTCCTACTTTGGATCTCAATATCATACATGTCTGTTTTGGCATAACAATACCCTGAACCTGCAAGGTTATATAAACTGTCAAAACTTGAGAGAAACAACTTTATATATTCCACAAGTCATTCTTCACTCTGCCAAGATCAATCTATGCAGGCAGCTATTTTCAAGATACATGCCATTAAGCCTGCCCTGAAATACAATTCTGTAATGGAGGGCATGGTCTATTTCAATAAAGATCTCAAAACCCACTTGTTTTATTATGTGAATTATTCAAGCAGAATGCAATTCCAAGAGAGCAGTTTATCGAGCTCAGTTCCTATGCATGTTCCTCTTTCTTTTTGGTATTTCTTGTATTTTTCTATTGTCCAGTAACTGTATATTTTGGGAAGTATACACATTACTTAAATTGATAAAAACATTTAAAAAAGATTTAAATAGCATAGAATAAAATGAAAGTAATACCAACAGCAGAATATAAAACAGCCAAAATATTAAAAAACCTAATTTTATAAAGTAATTTTTATGAGTTCTAAAATAATTTTCTATATAAAAAAATCTTCATCTAGTACCAAACAGATGATAGCAAGGATAATATGTAAGCTCATTCCCCTTGCCTTTTCTAGAGGAGGGCCTCAAAAGAAGGGTACGGGTAGATGAATATGGGAAAGCTAACCTGGTACCCAGCAATTTAGGGGCTAGAAATCAACTGCCAGACAGTGAGGTTGAGGAAGGACAATCTTGAAGTGGTCAGAACCATCAATCCTGTTTAATGAATTAGCTGCTCTACTTCTGGATTATTTTCAGGGATAGACTTTTTCTCAAAATTTTCTAGAATTCATAACGTTCTACACACAGCAAAGTAACCCTTCTCTGATCATGGAAAGCTTGTGTTGTTACAGTTTACTAATTTATGTATTAACAATTGTTCATAATAGTTGTACAACTTATTGAGTAAGGACTTTCTAAAACAAAGCAAAACAATTTTTAAAAAATCTTTGTAAAATGTAAACTAAAACAAAAAGCCTGGTGTTTGAGAGACTTATATTAAAGAGAGACTGAATATTATGAATATTGTGTCAGGAGACAATGGCAGAAGACAAAATAGCAAGAGCCAAAGTAGAAGAGATGCTTTGTGAGGTGAACTAAGCAAAGATCAGGTTCCTGGATAGGAGCAAACTTTCAGAATTGGACTGATTTCTAAGTAGATCAGTCTCAAGAACACAATATAACCAGCTTGAGGAAACCAACTGGAAATAAGAGGATGAGTGTGGACACAGCATAAATATTACATGCTTGAAAAGGAATAACCCTTAGAGAAGTTTCCAAGAGGTTACAAGCCAGAAACTTATAATCTTTAAAGAAGAGGAGAAAGAGTTCACTTCCAACTGCTGTGCAACAGCTTTGTGTAGAAGTGCCTCTTCTCTACCCCACCTGACACCTGCCTTTGTGCTGGGTCCCCACCAATGTAGCAATCTTTGATGAATGAATGAGAGGATGTAAAAGTGCTTAGGGAATACTGTAAGTACTGTGCCTAAGTGTTGTTCACACATGGCATAAACTTATAGTCACATATATCATAGGGTATGAATTTGGGTTCGATTCATACAATCCAATTTTTATGGAAAAAGAGTGCATAGCTCTCAAAGCAAGACTTATATATACTCCAGAACAGATACAAGAGTAGCAAAGAGTCAAAAGCCATTACTTGTTCCCATTTCCAAACATGCGGCTGTCTTCCATAATTAAT